AGAGAGAGACAGAATGAAAGAAGCTCAGATGAGTCTAAGAACAAAAAATTAAAAAATGAAGTTTTCTAAGAGATAAGAATTTGGGCATTTCCTGTAGAGTCATATTTGTATCCATTTGTAGAGTTAGGGGTGATTGCTAACTTTTCATTCTGTGATCTAACTAATTGATTGTTGCAGATTAGAAACTTCTTGCTCTAACAGATTTGGCTTGCTTTTTTTTTTTTCTTGCTGTTGGATTCACAGTAATCGCTGGGGCCTTCTGCTATGATATAGTTTTGGATAAGAGGCTGGATGAATGGATGCCAACAAAAGTAAGTCTACTCTTTGGAGCATTGTTTTCGGAGTGTGTTGTTCTCTGCTAAAATAGTGCTGTCAGTACTGCTGAATGGTTCTGCACATTGAGGACAGTTAGAGAATCTCTCTCCAAAAATAAGATCTCCCTGTTATCTGTGTGCCTGTCAGTCACTAATCTCTCATCCACCCATTCATCTTTTTTCTATCACTCTATATTGTAAACACATCTGTTGGTGATTTTTTTTTAGCTTATTTGTATATTTATTTGGATTAGGATATCCTATGCCTTGCTTGACCTTCTCTTTTTTGTTTGTCTATTTATTTATTTATTTATTTTTTTGCATGAGACGAGAACCTTACAGTATAGCTCTGGCTGCCGTGGAAATAACTTACAAGGTTAGTTGGCCTCAGACTCACAGAGGTCTGCCTTCCTTTGCCTTCTGAGTGCTGGGGTTAGTAGTATGAGGACATCCAGAATATAAGATACAGAAGCTGGACTGGAGAGTTGGCTCAGTAAGAAGCTTGCTGTGTGCGGTCTAGCTTTTTGTTAACTTGACAGATGCTAGAGTCCTAGGGGAAGAATGACTTCAGCTGAGAAGTGTTCCTCTCAGATTGGCCTGTGGACAACTCTGTATAGAGTTTTCTTAGTTAATGATTAGTGTAGGAGGGCCCAATCCATTGTGGGTAGTGCTATCCCTGGGCTGGTGCTCTTGGATGCTATAAGAAGGCAGGCTGAGCAAGCAATGGGAGCAGACTATTAAGTAGCACTACTCCATGGCCTCTGCATCAGCTCCTGCTTTTGGTTCCTGCCCTGCCTTCCTTTGATGATGAGTTGTGATGTAGAAGTGTGAGTGAAGTAAACTCTCCTCCATGACCGTGCTTGTGGTCATGGTGTTTTCACAGCAGTAAGAATCCTCAGATGCTGTGACAGCGTGTGGTTCTCAGTGCAGATCTCCAGTTTCCCTGCAAAAAGCTGAGTGGGACTGTACCTGCTTGTCACCCCTTGTACTGGGTGCTGGAGGAGAGATGGGGGGATCAACTGGGTTTGCTAAGCATCAGCCTGGCTTCAGGTCCTGTGACCGACACTGATGGGAATATGGTAAAGAGTGACAGAGCAGGACACCTGATACCTGATGTTCTCTTAAGGCCTCAGCATGCATCCCTCACCCCAGCAGGTTTATATATACCCAATATACAGACATGCACGTATGCACGCACACCGAATACATATATATCATACACATACACACACACCATATACATATGCATGTATATGCATGAGCTTACCTTGTTGGTTAATGTTGTGTTAGGGGACCTGGAGCCATACTTACTTGGGTCCCCAGAGCAGAGTTTGAAAACTGTCACCTTACACTGTTTTAGCATTGTGCATACAGTGAGCGTTCTGTATATGCAGCAGTCATAGCAAGAGCCAGATGAGGCTGCAGAGATGACTTGGCAATGAAAAGGGCACTTGCTGTCCTGACTGAGGCCCTGGGTTCTGTTGCTGCCACCTATATCAGGCAGCTCACAACTGTCTGTAACTCCAGTTCCAGTCGATTGGACACACTCTTCTGGCTTCTGTGGGCACTTGCACACACACACAGGCATACTTATAAAATAAATAAAGTTTTTTTTTTTTTTTTTTAAAGGAGTGAGTTTAACTAAGATTCAAACACGAAAAAGTGTCCCAAATAGCAATGACATATGTAAAACCTTAACTAATTGTGTATTTTCTGCCTCATTAAAAAATGTCGGTCCTCCCAAAGAAAATCATATAGGCTTCCTCCTGAATATTAACCTTCATCAGGCGATGAAAGGAGACAGAGACAGAGACCCACATTGGAGCACCGGACTGAAATCTCAAGGTTCAAATCAGAAGCAGAAGGAGAGAGAGCACAAGCAAGGAACTCAG